CGGAATACCAGCCGTTGTCCTAAAGAAATGTACTCCTGAACTGGTTGCTGTCCTCTCCAAACTATATAACTACTGCCTCAACGACTCTTGCTTTCCAGCTTGGTGGAAGTCATCATCTATTGTCCCTGTCTTTAAGAACTCCGGAGACCTTTCTTATCCATCTAACTACCGTTCTATCAGTCTCCTACCACTTTTCGGCAAAGTCTTCGAGGCTTTAATCAACGCCGAAGTGGTTAAACACCTTACGTCCCATGATCTGCTCTCTGACAAGCAATATGGTTTCCACTTTGTACGATCTACCGCTGGTGTGCTCACGGCCATAACTTCACAATAACGGAGAAATTTGAGCCGTCGCTCTTGATAGCACTAAAGCGTTTGATAGGATTTAGCATGTTGGAATTTCAGGACGATTATTTGACTTAATACAATAATTCCTGTCAAACCGTGAAATGAAGGTCGTCTTAAACGGGTTCTCCCCCAGTCCCTTTCTCACGAACGCTGGTGTTCACCAAGGGTCTATCCTGGGCCCTACACTGTTTCTGATCTTCATTAACGATCTTCCTGATGTCATCACTTTCCAAATAGACATCTACGTAGACGACACTACTATTTACTCCTGCCTCAATAGCAAATATGGTATCGCTGATAAAACTAAACTGGCCGTTGGTCTCGAAAAGAACCTCCAATCTGTGGTTGACTGGGGCAGGAGATGGCTGGTAAACTTTAATGCCTCAAAAACAAAACGGCTTTCATTAACCCACCACAGAGATGCTAAACTCTACGAGAACGCTTAAGACTGCTAATACATTGATTCAATAGCTTTCCGTACCGTAAGGAAAATTAGTTCTCTGTGTCGTGCCAGGAAGTCTGGAACCCCCGCTGTTTGTTTCAAGGTCTTCGACAAAATCTAGAGGAATATGCAATGTGGTTCATATTGATCGGGCATCTCTCCTACAGTCACTTTCTCTCAGACGTGCCGTCGCTTCCCTCTGTCTTTTCTACAAATATTTTCATGGTAATTGCTCCGACGAGCTACATTCGCTGGTTCCTAAACTGCATGAATTTAAACGAGCTACAAGGTTGACATGTAGCCGTCTCTTCTACTCCCATAGCTTCATGTCCCCCACTTCCCGTCTGTGGAACTCCCTTCCTCTTACTTGCTTCCCTGACAGAGTCTTTAAATATTAAAATGTAATGTCAATCGACATCTTCTGATGCCTTGATGTAATTCCCCGTCCTTTTCTTTATCCTTTCCTCAATCACGTCTCTTTACTCTTGCTTCCACTCTCTCCCTTTGCGTGCTAGTGTCATTCCCTCCGTGCTTGGGAGGAAATGCTTAAAAAAAGTAATTATATTAAAACGGCAATCTCCTTTCTACGTGAAACAAGTGAAGCGGTTGTTATTCGTGCCCATTGCAGAATGCTGATTCTCAAAACAAGCACAAGTCTTTACGTCACCTTCTTCTTTTATATGACATGTCCTTTCAGGCCGTATGCGATCATGGTCTGACACAGCTTCTTGCCTTTGTTAATTTTTTTTACCGTTTACTGTTCTTGTTTGTACTTGATTTTTCATTTATTCCCGTAGGTTGTTCGCTGTTTCTCTACATTTCTTGACTTCAGCATGTCTTGTGAGTGTTAAATTCTCCAGTCACTCTTTTCTTGTTATTCGTCTCAAAAATTTCAGCGGTCTCTTTTTGATTGTAGGTACCATTTTCCTTAAAATTTCGTCATTGTTAACATCACACTTTCTTTTTCTATCTCACTCTTTCCCCATCTCTTCCTCTCTCAATCATATATATATATATATATATATATATAATTATTATTATTATTACTATATGTTATATTTAGTGGATACACCTGTTTAAGTAGACGTCTGTTTTTTCTTTATGAGTATATTAAGTTTATGTCCGTCGAATATCTTTAATAAAGAAAATGTGATCCTTTGACCCTTATGTAGGTGAAAGCACCGTGTAGCCCGCCGTGCTTTTTTAAATCGACCCTGCCACAAATGACTTCATGGTAAAGCAATATGGAATTATCATAATGCAAGAAATGATTACATTTCCTTTATTAAAGCGATTGAAAAAAAAACAACAAACAAAAAACAGGCCGGCAGAGGAAATATACTGATAAAAAAAGTAAAAACAAAAAAAACAAAAATAACACAAAACCGCACAGGCGTCTGCTCAGACAAGTTTATTGTCCAAATATAACATATATCATAATAATAAACAATTAATATTTTAAAAATAACTACACACAATACACACACACACACACACACACACACACACACACACACACACACACACACACACACACACACACACACACACATATATATATATATATATATATATATATTCTCAAGCAGTAAATGATTTTATTATTTAACCTGACATATTTTATTAATTTAAAAGTTATTTTTAGTGGATACCCATATTTGAGTAGACGCAACGTTTTATTTCGCCAACTATCTATTTTTATACTATTTTATTTCGTCACCCCTTGTGAAGGTCTTCGTGGCTGAAAAAGTGTATATATATATATATATATATATATATATATATATATATATATATATATATATATAATTATTTATATATTATATGCGCAGTACTTATTAGAAAGCGCTCAATATCAGAGATAGAGCTAACATATTTACAAACTCACATCAATCCAACCAAATATATATATATACACACACACACACACACACACACACACACACACACACACACACACACACACACATATATATATATATATATATATATATATATCAAAAAATTATCTAAAATAAATACGCTTAAATTCATCTTCACCCTTGCAGTGTGCTAATCTCCGATTGTGGTAGAATCTCTGACTGATGCTAATTCAGTCGGGTTTCGATCCTACCTAGATGCAACGGACGATGAGCTGTAATACAGCGAAACAATCTGTCTGTGGATGAAATATATATATATATATATATATATATATATATATATATATATATATATATATATATATATATATATATATATATATATGTATATATATATATATATATATATATATATATATATAGACATCCTCACTCTCTCCCTAATGAGTCAAATGATAACACACACAAATAGTAATATACACGCTTACACAAATCATACTCACTCACTCACTCCCTAAGATCCAAATAACACACACGCTTAAAAGAGACACATCCCCAATAAAACTGTCTAAATGATTAAGGGAATTCAGAGCAACATGAATCCATCCAGCTCTTATCTTAAATAACAACTCAAAAGAGTTTGACCAAGGTCTGACCAAAATTCATGTTAAAAAAAAAAAAAAAACAAATAAAAACTACAGACAATAATTCATTTTCTCCATCAATTCTGTAGTTCACTGTTACCAGGAAGCAGAATTTTTTTTTCTCCTGATGATGGTCATGTTGGCCGAAACTAGTCGAGGAATCTCAGTGAAATAATAAAAACGAAAGAATATTAATATGCAACCCAGTGTGTCTGAAGATTTTAATTTTCTAATTTTTATATATATATATATATATATATATATATATATATATATATATATATATATATATGTGTGTGTGTGTGTGTGTGTGTGTAGTAGTAGTAGTAGTAGATATGATAGAATTAGTTGAAGTGTATTATCCTGCCAACTAACCCTATGACATCTACAACTGAAGAGAATCTATCTAAAATAAACATGAGCAGAAAAAGGAAGAGAGTAATCAGGATTACTGTAGATAGCGATTAACATTGCATTTAAATTTTTGCGGATTAAAGTTTGCTGGAAAGCATAATGCCGGAAGGGAATTCCACAAGCGAAATGTGTGAGAGAAGAAACTGCTGGCATAGAACTTACGGCTACATCTATCTAGCTCAACTATAAAATGTTAAGATCTCGACGATAGTCTAGTACTGAACTCAAATTCATAAAGTCTAGCTCATCCGAACAATTACCATGAAAGACATTATTTATAGAAAAGACATAGAGAGGTAACCTTGTTGCAGTGGGAAAATGACTGGAGCCGAGCAGCCAGATCAGGACCAATAATATTGCTGATTCTTCTTTGGATTTTATCAAGAAGCTCAAGGTAAATAGCAGGGGAAACGGACCAATGTGGCAGAAATATTCTAAGCATGGACGAGTGGTAGACTTATAGATATGTAAGATAGATTCTGGTTAGACATAGAGAAGTGACTTTCATAGCAGCTGACCTAGCAATGGATTCCATATAGTCTTTCCACATCATACCAGCAGAGAACATGAGCCTGACAAGTCGCCTCGAGTCAGTTTCCTGAAGGATAGCATCAGCCATGACTGATGGAAAGCCGCAAGTGGTCACTCAGATGATTAATGGAGAGAAGTTTAGTGTTAGTGCCGTTAAAATTAACAAGCTAAATTTTCCCCAGTTAAATCAGGGCTTGAAGTAGTTTTGGACATCGGCTGCCATTTTGACCTTGTCAAACAGATAAACCTTACTATCGAGGCAGGAGTAAGTCGTTGTACACTATTTACATTATTCAGACTAATGTCCTCATCTTTGTCGTCATATTTATTATAACGTTTCAGCTGTTCTACGCTTCGGCCTTCGGTTGGAATGTCGAACTGAACCCTTTGTTTCGCTCACTGGGGTAGACTGTTCTAATTTCATGTTTAATGGATGACAGTTTTTCCGTTATCTCCTTTTAATTCCCCTCTCCAAGTTCTCCACCGCCTTAACCAGGTATTGAACCCACACCCTTTGGTTCCTGTCACTGGATCTTACTAACGCCTTTATCCACTGTGTCACTTAATTAGACTTTAGCCCTTCGAGTACACACTTACATTTATTGCGAGCAACAAAGAATAGGCGTCTGTTGTGGCAAAAGACGTTACGTGATTCTTGTGTGCTATATCGGTCGAGCATGCTGGTGTGAACCCTGAAGAGGATTGAGGTTTCACCGGAATGAAAGCGTCCATACCGGCTTTGACCGAAGAAGAAACCCCAGTGGCCCAATTTTTAATTGGGAGTTTAAAAATGTCAGTCCAATGAGTGCCAAGGAGAAAATCACGGATGATGACATAAATTCTTTTACTTTCTGTATACCTTGAGCGCATTAGATTCTCACATCGTTCTTTCCTCACTATGAGATTCCTTGTTGTTCCTGTTAATCTTAAATAATTCTCGTTGCTCATGTTATGCTAGCAATTATTTTTCAGAATAGCCTTTTTGTTAATGCACTTAATTCAGTGATGAAAATGAATTAGTTCAAACGTGATGTAGTGAAAATTTTAGATCAATATTCATTTTATACTTCTTTCAGGTTACATAGTTATTGATTTGATCTCTTAATTTGTGCAGTCGAATGTAAAATCAGTAAATATCATTTACAAAGAGCAAAACCTAGAGTAAAAAGATATTAATGACAGGATTGTTAATTTTTTATGGCTTGCCAACCCTTTGTGAGTTATTAAAAGCCAAAACATAATTTTGGATTGCAAGAATAATTTTTTTCTATTTGACTGAATATTGTATTAACAATTTTTTGAGAATGACAATAATATTTTCCAGATTCCTTTACTACCATTTAACCCATAAGTGGGGGATTGATTCATACCATTGCCAAGAGTATTTGCGCGTAAGTGAACGTAACGAACCAGACTGGAAGTCGAACTCTGCTTACTGATTTCTCATTCCGAGCCACTATCAATTACACCACCCACACATCCATTTGATGGTAGGAGAACGTATAACCATGTAAAGCAGTGGATAGGAGAGCAAAAAAGGAAGATGAAGAAGTAGGAGGAATTAAAAGGAAGAAGATGAAATATAAGAAGGAAAACTGAATGAAAAAAAATGAAGAAAAACAAGAAAGAATGAAACTTAAAGATAATGAATAATGGTAGAAAGAAAGTGAAAGCGCAAAAATGAATATAAAACAGAAAAAAAAACACCTCCCTCCCCCAAACAAAAAACACAAAACAAAGAGGAGAGGAGTTAGAAGATAAAATATGATAAAACAAAATGAATGCAACAAGGAAGATGATTTGCGGAAATGAAATTGAAAAGGAAAGTATAATAGAAAAAAGAAAGGGTAACCGGCAGAACGAACATAAAACAGAGAGAGAGAGAGAAAAAAACGAGGAAAAACACGACGAAATCAAAGAAAGAGAAGGTAAAAGAAAAGATAATATTAAAAAAAAAAGATAACCTTAAAATAAAGGCTTTTAATAGACGTTTAGAATTAATATCTAATGATGGAAACAGGACGAAATTAAATGAAAGAGAAAAAAAAAAGAAAACGGAAGAAAGAACAAACAAAAACATTAGAGAATGAAAAAAAAACGAAGGAAGGAAAAGAACGACTCGTAAAGGTGTAATAATATGATTTTTCATTTTCGTACGGACGCAGTGCGGTAGAAACTAAGCGGGCTTCTGTTTGATGTGGAACCAATTAGGCCAGATTTTCTTTGCCCCATCCTTACGTCTTCGCAGCACCCTTTTCCACTACGCCTACTTCCTCACCTCCCCACCCCTAAGTTCGTCAGTTCACATTAAGTGCATTCATTCGGCGCCACGTACATCCACACTCATTTAAATATTAATAGAGTTTGAAAAATAATATATTCAAATTTAGCAGCGTCCTCTGGTGTTTTACAAACATTAAAAATATCTATCTATCTATCTATCTATCTATCTATCTATCTATCTATCTATCTATCTATCTCAGTTCCCTTGTATCTATCAAGGCAAATTTATCGGCCCAAACAAGAATCAATTTCCAGCAAAAATATGAAGATTGCTCATTTGCAGAAATGTGAAAATATGGGTCGGTTCGGGAATTTTTCAGGATATATATATATATATATATATATATATATATATATATATATATATATATGTATAGAGAGAGAGAGAGAGAGAGAGAGAGGGGGTCTATTTATAACTATCTCGGTTCCTATCTGACTAGGCGTCAATGCTTGCGCTAGCACGAAGTCACAAGTCATCGTGACCGAGGGTTTGAACATACCGGCTTGTTTCAAGCAGATCCTGCCAGATTGTTCATTCTCTGAAACTGAAACTAATAGTTGCAGTATAATCCACAAGTTGGCTTTTGGGGAGTTGAAAAAACAGAAATGCCAGAACAGGCGTCTTCAACAGAGCTTACCGGTGTAGCAGACAGGTGTACTCGAAAACGAAGACATTTGGGTTTAAGGTCAAAAGATGAATATTAGACATGAGTCCGGAATTATTTTTATTTCCTGGTATTTACATTTAGATGTGTTAAACAAGTTAGGAGATATCACAGTTTATTTTAACCCACCCATTTTTCAAGTGAGTAAAACTATTGGAATACGTGACTGACAGGTGTTTCTTGTTGCCCAGGTGTTGCCTTTTAGATTGATTGTTTAAACATTAAATAGCTCCCAATGACTACACCTGGTTTAATCTTAGGTTTCACCTGGAAAACGGCATTTCTTTTTAAAAGGGTAAACCAGTTTGAAAATGAGAGAGCTGTCTATGGGAGAAAAGTAAGACATTTTGAGGTTGAGCGATTGTACAAACATTGGACATAGCCAACACAACAATTTGGAATATCCTGAATAAGACAGAGACTACTGGTGTACCGAGCAACAGACATAGAATAGGTTGGACAAGGAAAACAACAGCAGTTATGGTAGAAACATTGTGAGAGTTGTGGGGAAAAACCCAAAACAACAATCAGTGACATCACCAACAATCTCCAGGGTGAAGGAATGAAGGTTTTCCCAATACACTATTTGAGAAGACTTCAGGGAGGCAGAAATATGGAGGCAATACCACAAGAAGGCACCACAAGATTGGAATTTGTAAGGAAGTACACATATGAGCAAAAAAAGTTCCGAGAGAAAGTTTTATTAGCTGATGAGACCAAGTTTAATGTCTACCAAAGTGATGGCAAGGTCAAAGTGTGGAGACAGAAAGGATCTGCTTATGATCCAAAGCATACAAGCTCATCTGGGAAGCATGATGGAGGAAGAATCGTGTCTTGGTCTTTCATGACTGCTTCTGAAACAGCCTTATTCATATTTATTGATGATGGTAGCAGCAGAATTAATTCAAAGTCTACAGAAATATTCTGTCTGCCAATTTATTGAGAAATGCACTCAGACTAATCAGGAGGAAATTTATCAAGCAGTCGGACAAGTCACTCATCCGACTTTAACAGATTAGAGCATGTATTTCATCTTCTGAACAATTGATTGAAGAAAGAAATCCCCTGAAACAAACAAGAACTGAAATATGTTGGGTTAAAAGTCCGAAAAAGCATCACGAATGACGAATGCAACAGTTTGGTGATGTAAGTCGTTCAAAGACTTGATCAGTTATTGTAAGCAAGGGTTATGCAATTAAATATTACATGTTATTTAATTTAAGACTATCCGTTTCTTTAATTATGCTCACCTAAAAATGGAGTGATCTGATACAAATGGTGATATATCCTAAGGTGTTTAAATACATCTAAATGCAAATACCCGGAAATAAAAGCTGAAATTCAGAACTTGTCTCATATTCATAGTTTGATCTTAAAACCAAACGCATTCAATGAACAATAAAAACAAAGGAATCGGTCTTATTGCAATAGTATTGGACGAGACTTTATATGAGGTCTGATAAAAAAAGTATCGGTACTTTTCCTATGGTAACGTAGCTAAAGTACGCAACATTGTCCGATTGGCACAGATTGACCTTTGAACTCTGTCAAGCATGCACATTAAGTTAAAACGTTCTTGCTCGCTTCCGTTGTTTATAGAAGTGCTTGAAAAAAAGTATATAGAATGTGGTCGTTTCCCAACACAAGAGAGGTGCCATCAGTGACCATGGTTTGTGTAGCAGTTTTTTGGGCCGAAATACGACATTCCCTGGGTCCGAAAGCCACCATATTCCCCAGATCTCGCCCTTTGCAAAAAAAGTATTTCCAGGGATGCTTCCGTTAATAGACAGGACGCTGTATAAAGTGAATAGCTTTAAAAGAGGACTACTTCGAAGGAGATTAAATGCCGAAATGATAATTGTTGTAGATCTCTATACTTTTTGATCAGCTCACGTATATATATATAAGTGTTGACTTCTATGTTCACTTTTATATTTACACACGCTCTATCTCTGATATTGAGCACTTTATCCCATAAATATAGCACACCTTAAGACTATATTTCTTCATATATATATATATATATATATATATATATATATATATAAGCCCTTCGTAAAGTGTGATTATTATTATTATCATTATTATTATTATTATTATTATTTTTTACGGCTATTAAATAAGTTATATACACTTCTATGCTGAAATATTCTATTCAATATTGGGGGGGCTTTCTTTTGTATAATCATGACTTCTAGAATGTTACGTCTTTCCTTGCATTGAAATTAGCCCCATAACAACTTGATTACAAGGAGAGCCATTTCTGTATCATACCTACGCATTTGTTGCTGCTGTTCGCTTATGATAAACACATTTTGCTATATTTTTTTGTGTCTTTATTATTGTTTGTTAAGATTAGAATTGTTCTTACATTGATTATGCAACAATAGTAACGGTTCTCGTATTATTAGCCGTTTCCTTATAAGGAAACATTCAGAATTCATTGATAGAGCATGTAGACTTCCAGTCGGCTGAAATTTATAAAATCATTCTTTTAAAAATGTTTCAGGAAAATAAGTTTTTCCAAGACCAGTTGCTATTAATGCTCTTTCCATTATTGAGGGTGCCTTCTTTCTTTGCTTTTTGTTTTGAGGGGATAGAGGAGATCGTCAGAATTTTGATTCTGTCATTATTTTCTCTTCGAATTACTTAGGCTATTCATTTTAATTGTTGCTAATGTTGAATGTCCTCAACTGATGTGTTTCGATTATCAAATTCTATCTAGTTCTTTCTTTGTGATCCTGTAACGTCAATCTATGAGATTCGATAAAGGATAGTCCGTTCTGAGGTCTACACGATTCTTCTTCTATGTTTCGTGTCTCTTCGGGACGTAGGCGATCATGACTCTCCACATTCTCCTGTCCTTCATAGCTCTTAATAATTTTTTTTCTACTTCTCGTAAACCTTGTTCTGCCATCCATTTGCTCAATCTGTTATACATTGTTTTCTTCTGTCTCTCTTGCCTTCAGACTGTCCTGAGTGTTTAAGATTTTCCAAGCCCTCTTTCCTCGTTATGTGAGCTTTTGACCGTCGGTCTGGAAAAGCTGTTGTATATAGTCAAGAGTTTAGGTATTTCTGAACGGGTTTTTCGTCATTCGTGGCATCCATATCAAAGTCTCGATCTCGCGAGGCTATTTAATATCATCACGCTCGATCTCGCGTTAATGTTTTGGTTTTGAAGCAGCTCACGATATTGGACGAAACTACTCCTAGCATAGACAATTCTTTGTTAAATTTCCTTATCTCCTATACTAAATTTGTTGTAACTGATCTCTACACCGAGGTATTCGATTGTTAAGCTATTAACCAAGTCTTCTATTTTATGGTAACATTTATATTCTATCTAATGTTCCTGCACATGGCACCTCACAAGCTTTCAATCCAAATTGTGATAAGCAGACAAAGCCTCCAAAAACCCATTGGGTCAATAGAAACCCTTTCTATCTGCACGTTTTACTTTAGTTCTGTTTATGCATTTTTCTTAGTACGGAGAAAAGCCTCAAAGTAAAGCCTGCCCCCCCCCCATCCTAATTCTCTTCATTGATCAAACATAGAAAGTGAACCTTTGAATGTTTGAAAAGGTTCCTGAGTTTTTGCTGTAGTAGCTTACCTTTTTAAGTTCCCAATAGAATGTTTTCTTAGGCAGATAATCACTCCTAAATCTTACGATTTTAATCATCCAGTGATGTCAATATTTGTGGAGAATCGTCTCCAGATACGGTGAGTTTGTTGAAGGACAACATAGCCTAGAATTATGACAAGATTAATGGATCTTTAGTATTTTTCTGAGACTGTATTGACTTAAACATTCCTAATTTTTTTTGTGTCTAGAATAGGGAGTTCACGTTTTGCACAGATCCAGGAGGATCGAAATAACACAGGCATTGTAGTTATTTCTGATCGAGATGCTTAGTTGAGACCAAACACTCACGTCAAGTGATTTGAATGACTTAGTAGTTCTCTCTCTCTCTTTCTCTCTCTCTCTCTCTCTCTCTCTATATATATATTTATAAAAGCCAGTGTCCGTTTATTTGTAACGCACAAAACATGCCAGTTTATGTTTAATAAAAGTTCAACCGAGAATTGTTACTTTCCGACTTTTCGAAGGGAAGATAAAGTAAATAATAATATTTTAATAAAGTCAACATCCGTAACCGAACATTGTGTCAGTTTTGTGGTGTGTTAAACATTTCATGGTGGG